TATCTTATAAATACTAATTAAATAACAATATAAAATTCAATCAAACCATAATCAATATTCAATTGTGGCTGTAATTAAACTATAATAATTGATTGACATAACTTTTACAATTATATAGGCATCGCGTATTTATAATAACATTTCATATAAACAACCTTTTAAATAATATTTATACAAAAAAAAGTAATTATAAACAAATACGATCTGTTACTTTAAGCTTTTTTTTTAAATGTCATACGAACTCCTCCAATAATATATATTGACAATGTGTCCAGTATTAAATATTTATTAATGTGTAGTTGAGATTCTTACCAACAATTAATCCATTATCCAAACCATTAAAATCCGATATTTTTATACACTTAAGTTGTGTTTGAATATTAAACGCGATAAATAAAATAAAATATAATATTCTTTCTTTTTGTTTAAACATGTGTTTTTTTTGTTGAGAACAGTTTTTATACTATCATAAATATAAAAATTTATACGTGTTTAAAACTAATTTTAAACTTAAAAAATATTTTAACTCTTGTATACAAAATAACAGTATAAGAGATTAAAGTAGTGTTAAGTAATTGAATAAAATTTAAGTTATTTCGTCACGTATTTGTCATTATTATATCATGCATAAAATCTTAATTTTTAACAAAATAAAATTTACTTATCTACATGATTAATTCTGTTCAATATTCAGATTTAATTCCTTAGATAACTAGTTATTTTGTGTTTTAAAGAAGAGAACTGTGTTTTGGTGATCATGTAAATTTATAATATGTGACATATATGTACAAATGTTAACATCATATAATATGCTAATATTAAAAGTGATTACATAATATTACAATTTACCTACATGACACATTAAATTCAGTGTTGGCACTTTTATCTATTTATGACTACTTTTTTACTTTTTTAACTGGTCGGGAACAATGGATTATGTACAAAAAATAACTATTTTAAACTAATATTGAAACTAAAAATATCAAAGCATTTAAATAAGTATTTTTAAAATTCAAAATCATTATTTTTATATACTATTTATTGTGTTCTCTTATGTGCAAAAGCTATATTCAAAAATCAGAATTGTATTGAATTATATGTAGAAATAACCATATTAATTATTATCATAATTTAATAGCATTATTCTAAAATTTCTAAAAAATGACATCATTAAAAATAGTTTTAAAGTGCTTTTTATTATTTTATATTATATTACATATCAAATCGGACAGAAATAAAATAGAAAATACTCGTATTGTGAATAATCTTTTCAAATGTATTGGTTGGAAAAATTTAAAACGTGTCAAAAATGTAACTTATTTAAGGAAAAACTATGATCTTCCGAGTATAATTCAACAGCCAATAACACCATTTGATTGTAATATAAAAATACGAATCGCAACTGTTTTTCTAGGTTGCATTTACATAAGTATTTTAATGGACATAATGAGTGCTATCAACTATCAATATTCTGTGACGAAATAATGAGCAATGAATTTAATAAAACACAAGGCTATAATTGCACTTTAAAATTATTAGAAATTATGACAAATTTTACTTTATTTACAAAAAAAATACAAGGAGCCCTGTATGCAATAGACAGTCTGCATAAATACCCTTGGAAATTGAACGATAAGTCTTATATTATTTTGAATTTTATATCTGAAGATTTCCAAAATTTACAAAGCCAACTAGATAAATTAGGTCTATCTCGTGATGATTTGGCATATAATAAATCTATATTATGTATTATATTTTTTGAAATGGAAAATATTAAAATGAAAATACAGTGTAATAACCGACAATTTTGTACATTAGAAAGTGATAATATATTTGTGTTAACAAATAATTTGAACACCGTATATAAAAATATAGACTTGAACGGAGAAAATATAGCAATTTATTATAAAGGCAGTGAAATTATATTAAATGGAATCCAGATGTTTATTTTAGAAAATTTTACCAAACTTGGATTTAAATTTGATTTAAACAACGGAGAAACTTTCATTCCAAATTCATTACTTCATCTTTTTCCAGGTATATTTTTATGTTTCAATATGATATAATTAATGAAATCATTTATTGTTGCTATAAAATAAAGGTTTTGGATTTTAGAATAAACTATTTTGACTGTTTATATATAAATAGAATTGTATTACTAAATAATCACAAACAATAATATTAAAATTAATAAAATTTAACTCTCTTTCCTTAATCTTGCCTTAATATGAATATGTCATAAGTGATATTTTAAAATAATTTTAAAAAATTGAATTATACCTAAAAATGAATTTAGCAATAATCAGTGGATTTAGAGTAGATTTATTAAGAATTTGCTATGAATAATTTTTTTTGTCAATATTTATTAACATGTACATTTTCTATTTAGTCTTGTTTGAGGGAAATATTAATTATTTATTTGATTATACCTAATAATATACTAAAAATTTAAATATATGTATGATATTCCCTATCCTATTTCATTCTACACTAGATATAAAATTATAAAAGTTTTAAAAAAGAAATAAAAATTATGCTCCTTTATTCAATATCAATATTTATACAATTTTACGTTATTACGTACAACGAGGCAAAAATTATTACACAATTCATCCCACATTCATTAGTTCATCTTATTGCAAGTTTATTTTTATGTTTTAATGTGATATCAATAATGAAATAATTTATTTTTGTTATAAAATAAATGTTTTGGATTTTAGAATAAACTGATAACATAATTTACTTTTTTACTATTTAAATAATTAACTATTTAGACAGTTTTAGTGTGTATAGATCGGTAAGCAGTACAAGATTTCTCTTATGAAGACATGAGTTTATTTTAAAAATTTAAATCACTCAACATTTTATTTTTAATATTGCAATATTACCAATAATACAATTTATTTAAAGCTATTAGTAAAATTAAAAATGTATAAAGCCACTAAATTTTCAACACCGTCAATCCCATTGATATTCGAATTAATGAAATTTAAGTTTTTTTCCCTTGTGGAAAGGGGATAATAATACTTCCACGGCCCCTCTGGCAGTCGTAAGAGGCGACTAACGAGGTTGCATCAGGTCGATAGCCGGTGTTAAATTTTTGACAAAAAGTATGAGAAGTCTTGAACAAAACTTAGGCGTATTGTCCCATATCGGATGAACGCAGGGCAACAGGTGAGAGGAAATAAAGTAGTTAAAAACGGAGAATGTCTAAGGAATAAAGTGTTTCATGCCAGCCGGAAAACTTATGTGGTAGCTGTTTCACCAGTCATGTGTACAAGCCTACCCAACCCTTGTAATGTCAACGGTGTAGGGACATCGATCTTCAACTCTAGACTAAACTTGTGTATAAGGATGAAAGATAGATACATAGTAAGAATAAGTACGTGGAATGACAGAACATTAACTAGTAGAGTTAGACAATTATTATTGATGAGGAGAAAAGTTAATATTTGTTGTGTGCAGGAAATTAAGTCGAAAGGGAGAGAATTCAAGGGAAATAGATGAGAGTTACAAATATATTCAGATAAGACCAATACAAATAATGGTATTGTGAATATAATGAATAATAAAATTAAGTAAAGTAGTAGAAATAGTTAGAAAATGTGACAGAATTATAGTCGTAAAATTAATTTTGCATAATTGTCTGATCTTCCTGTGGTTAATAATTATTTTAGAAAGAGAGAAGAACATCATACAACTTAAAGGAGTGGGAGTAATAGATACAGATTGACTATTCTATTTGGAAGAGAGAGTGTAACGCGAGTAGTAAATAATATATGGATGCTACAGTTTTAGTAAAAACAATGAGGCAAGAGAAGGAATCCTTGAGAGAGTGTAACTGCACAACATTGAAATATTTTAATGGAGTTATAGTGTAGTGGGAAGACAGTATATAAAGAGAAAAAGAACACAGAAGGGTAAAATCTAGGATTTGGTGGTAGAAATTGAAAGTGGAAAATAAAAAAGAATTTTTAAAGTCAATAAAAGAGAGGATGGTGTGAAATAATGAGGATGACATAAATGATGTGTGGAATAGATTTGTTAGTTGTGTAAAGAATACTGCAAAAGAGATAGTTGGTGAGAGAATAAGAGTAGAATGTTAAGAAACAAGAATACATGGTGGTGGGATGAGGATGTTCAGGAAATCATAGATAGTATGTAAAAACAATTCAAAGTATAGATTATGATCAAACGATGAGATGACTGGATGCTGTATAAACGATTGTGTAAAAAAATTAAGTTTAAAAGGTATGATGAGTTGTGTGATAAGCTAGGAACAAAGGGAGGTTAAAAAGAAGTCTATACACTTGCAAAAGTAACAGGAAAATGGTATAAAGATAATCAAAATAAATAGTGTATATAATGCGATAATATAAAAGTACTAACGAGTAATGATTATGTGAAACAAGGTGGAAAAATTATTTAGGAAAATTTTTGAATGAGAAGTATCCAAGAGAGACAATAAAAGATATTTCATTGAACGAAGGATTGGTAGATTTTATTAGTGCAAAAAAAGTATGAGAGAAGAACATGGTAAGTAAAATGAGGAGGTCTGTCACAATAAGCGAGAACGTGATAGGTGAGGTGGAAAGTTTTAAGTAATTAGTATCAGTTATGCAAAAGAAATGTGGTGATTATGTTAACACAGGATAAAGTGCGGAAGGGTGAAATGCAGAGAAGCATCTGTTGTTTTATGCGATATAAAAATTTTAATGAGGCAGAATAATAAATTTTATAAGACTGTAGTGAGACCAGCTATAAATCATGGTTCAGAGTGTTGGGCGGTTGACAAAAAATTGTACAGAGAATAAGTATAGCAGAGATAAGGATGGTAACTGTTAATTTAGAATATTAGAAGTTTTAGTAATAATTAGAACTCATTAAATTCAAGAAGCAACACATCAATAGTAAGACTATGCAACAAAATGATAGTGATATCAGTAGTAAGATTGATCTTTGTTTATAACAACGAACATTATTATTAAAAAAACTTCAAATACCAATGAGATTACATTTTTTAATTAAAATTTATGTTTTTTTTAAATTAAAAACAGTAAATAAAGAACAATAAAAATATTTAAATACTGAAATCATTTTCTATGTACATATCTTTAGAAGCAAACAATGAATCAAAATCATCTCCAGCTACGAATCCAGTAGTTCATGATTTTCTTCAAAAAGGTAAATTACTTTTTAATTAACTAAAATATGTGTCTTCAAAATCAGCTGTATAGTTCAGTGGAATTTACCATTTTCCGTAACACATCTTTTGTTGAAATTATTTAAACTTAAATATTCTAAATTTTTTTTCTCACCTTTATGGAGAGATGGCGGCAATGAGCTTTTTGATAAAATTTTTAAACGTTCACGGTGTGCTAAAAATAATTTTCTCATCCTCGCGAATAATTTCCCTAAAATAATGCGGTTGAGCTATTTCATTAAAAAAAAAATTTGAAAATCGTACATCGTTAAGTAGTTTTTTCAGCATTGGCTAATTCGTTATTTATTTTACTTTGTTATAAATAGGTATTTATAAAATTATAAAAATGATATTTCAAATACTAAAAAATTTTTTTTTCAAATACCACTTGGTGTTTCCTTTATAAGTAAAAACTATATTAGGAATCAGAATTTATAGAATAACTTATAAAAAATTTACCAATATAAGCATCTATGATGATTGTTTCAAAGTGTTTGTTATTATTTTGTGTCGTTTTATGTACTGAATCAACAACAAATACAGTAGAAAATACTCGTATTATGAATAATCTTTTTAAATGTGTTGGATGGAAAAATTTAAAATATATCAAAAATGTAACTTACTTATATCGAAATAAAGATCTTTCCAGTATCATTGAAGAGCCAATAACACCAAAAACATGTAATTCAAAAATACGAGCCATGACTGTATTCCTTGGTTGCACATACGCGAATATTTTATTGGACATTGTAACTGCTGTCAACTGTCAACGAATATTCTGTGAACAAATAATGAATAATGAAATTTATAAATTACATGGCTACAATTGCACTGTAAAACTATTAGAAATTATTTCCAACATAATTTTATTTACAAAAAAAATACAAGGAGCACTGTATACTATAGACAAACTGCATACGTATCCATGGATCAATGGTGTAAAGTACAGTATAATTTTAAAGTTAGTATTTGACAAGTTTCAAAATTTACAAGGCAAATTATATGATTTTTTTCCTTCACGCGAATATTTGACATACAATAAAACTATACTACATAAAATAGAAAAGATAATGAAACACATTGAAATAAAAATAGATTTTAACATTGAATTGTATTGTACATTGGAGTGTGGTAATGTGTCTGTGTTAACGAACAAATTGAACGTAATATATAACAATGTAAAATTTAACGGAGAAAATATAGAATTGTATAATTTTGGCAGTGAAACTATATTAAGTGAAATAGAGATTATAATTACAAATTTTTTTACCAAACTAGGCTTCGAATTTAATTTAGAAACTGGTGAAACATTCATTCCAGATTCATTAGATTATCTTTTTGGAGGTATATTTTATATATTTCAATATGATATAATTAATAGCAATTAATTTTCGTAACTTTTTAACTATTTAACTTATTAACTATTTTGACCGTTTCCGTGTATATAGATTGCGTAAGACTATTAGATTTCTTTTATGAAGATAGGATTTTATTTAAAAAATATAAATATTATTAACTTAAAATTTATTTTTAATATTGCACTATTTACAATAATATAATTTAAATAAATTTAAGGTTATTACTTAAATTAAAATTTTGTGACGCCATTGAATTTTCAATACAATCACTTACATGAATATTTAAATTAATTAAATACAATTTTTATTTATTCTTCGTTGAGATAAATAATTAATTCTTTGAATGTACTTAATAATTTACTAAAGATTTAAACAAATGTATGATTTCATCAATCTTATTTCATTTTAAACTCGATAAAAGTATGTCATAAAGTATTCTATTGAAAAATATATAAAATTATATTTTCTTATTAAATCTCAATTTATATTCAATTTTATACAGTGAGGCCATAATTATTTTAAAAAAAATGCTATGATCTTATACAATGTTTTAATGTAATAAAAAGAATTAAATGTGAGTGGATGAAATGAGATAAAAGGATAGTTGATGTATGCGTAAATGATGCGGAGATCGTGTCAAGTGGAAGTTTAGGATATGTAACGAACCCAAGTATTTAGGATAAAGGCGAATAAAAATAAGAAGATTTAGAAAAATTGACTGAATCCGAAATTTCTCCAGCTACGATTCTAGTTTTTTATAATTTTCTTAAAAACTATTTACGCCGATGACAGTGATATCAGTAGTGTTATAAACAAAATTTATATTTACTCTTTCATCATTTCCTAATAAAATAATTTTAGCCTCTCGTGTGTAGATTGTCGTGCTTTTTTTTAAAAAAAATTATATTCCAATAAATTATCATAAGATAAAATGTCCACTATAGTAAAGTCTATCAAAAATATATGGCTTTTGAACCTTACCTCTAAAATAGTTTTACCTATCACATCAATGTGATCAGTTAGCTGTAGTTCATGTAACATTATTATATTGATAAATAATATGATCATGGGGTAAAATACACTTATTTATAATGCTTGTACTCGCTTCTGTATCAACGACGAAATTAATATCTTTTTTTATTTACTTTGCCCATTATCAGTGGAAAATCGTAAATTTTAATCGAATTCAAGGATTGAGTCACAGTTGAATTCACAATCACAATAATACTAGTATTTTTCGTTCATTATTGTTTCAAGCTTATTTTAAAAATTATTTTTAACTTTTTAGTTAGATGTACTTCAAAAGTGTGTTTTTTTAGTTTTTTTTAACTATATTTATTTTTCACTTTTTAGTTTCATGTTATGATAGTAGTTACTATCAATATCATGGTTATAATGGTTAACGGGAAATCAGGGTTCGATTCCGGAGAGGGAGTCTAAGATACGGTTACCACATCCAAGGAAAGCAGCAGACGCGTAAATTACCCACTCCCGGAACATGGAAGTAGTGACGAAAAATGACGATACGGGAATCATCCCTCGTAATCGAAATGAATACACTCTATATCTCTTAATGAGAATATAGCATGTTCATAAATAAATTTTAATAGTAATTAGAATATATATACATGTATAGCGATATAAGTACGTAAACGTATCATGCACTAGGTATAGCCTTGTTTTGTGGTCGAGGGGAACGTTATACCTAAGGTATAAACGGCGGGATCGGTGGTAAGAATATATAAATATATATACGTAAGGCGCATTACACGCGGGCGGTATTGGTCAGTAAAAATAAAAATTGTTTATTTACAGGGTGTAACTCTTTCGAACCATAGTAATGTATGGCCCAGTATCCTGGTAAAGTGTAAAATAGGACCTCGTTTTTTTTTTCCAAAATTGGAGGAATTTTGGTATAACCCCCCCCCCTGAATTTCTCTAAAATTAAAAATAAATCATACCACAATATTTCCCGCAAAATTCTCATACAAATTGAATAGTCACTCAATTTTTTGTAACTTTTGCGCCTCCCCTGAACTTTGGGTTCAAAGTTGGAAAAAAATTTCACATTAGTATGAATCATCAATTTGTATTGAAATTTTACTGGGAGTCCTATGATGTAGTTTATTTTTAGTTTAAACGATTGAATAACAAGAAAGACCGAAAAACCCACAAATAATGTGATATTTTTTTAATTTCACGAGTTTATTTCGTCTTTTATTATTTATTCAAACCGATTATAATTTTTATCATTTAAACTGTTATAAAATTATAAATTTTTTTCTTTTTAGGTCGGGAAAATAACACAATCATAATATTGAAATGAATATTTTAAACTTTATTACAATTGGATAATTAGAAATAATTATTTTAATGTAATCGGCACACTACACCCAGAGAAAAACCTCGATCTATATAATAAATTTGTAACGAGGTGTAATATATAGAAGTAATAAACACTTTTAAGATTTAATAACAACTATACTATATTACAACGAACTAACAAATAACAGCGAGAGACGAAGCGCGTGTAAGACAGAATGCGTAAGTGATTGACTGATCGACTGATTGACTGGAGCGACGATCTTGCCCTTAAATAGTCAGAGGAATCTTCTAGAGGCGGCGTCGGAACTCTCTAGACATTCGACCGCCACACGCTTATGTAGAGCGACGAATCTTCTAGAGGCGGCGGCGGCCGGACATTCTAGAATATTCGACCGCCACAAATTCATTGTTCAATTTGATAAATATATCATTACTATTGAAACTATGATATATTTATCAATATGATAATTTTTTTTCCTGTCTTGAACAATAATTATTTATAAGAATAATTATTTTGTTCGTATTAATAAAACATTATCATAAACCCTTGATAAAATTTCTCTATCAAAATTGATTGAGGTTTTTCTTTGGGTGTACTCTTTCCCGAAATTAATCAATAATGAGAATAGGGTACATCACTGAGCTTGTTAATGTTTATTTAAATGTTCAAAAAATACTGTTCACTATTGAATAGTCACTAATTAAGTTGCACATAATATTAGATAACTTTTAAAATATAGCTTCTTTTTTTAAGCAATAAAAATGCATAAATATCACATTATTTGTGGGTTTTTTCGGGTTTTCTTATTATTTAATCGTTTAAACTAAAAATAAACTACATCACAGGACTCCCAGTAAAATTTCAATACAAATTGATGATTCACACTAATGTGAAATTTTTTTCCAACTTTGAACCTAAAGTTCAGGGGTGGGCGCAAAAGTTACAAAAAATTGAGTGACCACTCAATTTGTATGAGAACTTTGCGGGAAATATTGTGGTATGATTTATTTTTAATTTTAGAGAAATTCGAGGGGCTATTCCAAAATTCCTCCATTTTTGGAAAAAAATAAAAAATAAAATGAGGTCCTATTTTACACTTTACCAGGATACTCGCCCATATATAACTATGGTTCGAAAGATTTACACCCTGTATATATCATTGATGTCATGCACGCGTGTATGAGTACGAAATCCAAAAATAAATTTATACAGGATTAGTGTTTCTGTCGTGTGGTGAGCAGGGTGGGGTGAATGCGTTACGACGTCTAGTCTCAAGGTCATAGACGACGGGTACGCGAGAATAATAACACGTGCCGTGTGGAAAGTTACAAACACACATCACACATACAAGTGAAACTAATATAAGCGTGTTAATAAATAGGATTAAAGTAATACTATTGAAAACTATGTCAATAACGGCCACTCAAACACAACTGCCCTTTGTTAGTTCGACGTCAATAGCTCTGGGCTACAGACGAGCAGAATTGTCACATCAGCATCTTCCCCTTATGCTAATTATTATGTATTATAAATTAGGCAAATGAAAATAAAACCTGTATAATATAAGTGGTAAGAACATAGTAATAAATGTTCTTACAGTAGTAAAATTGCTCATTGTTAATAACAAATATAAATTAAAATAAGTCTACCCACTTTCTCCAAAAAATATTTCCGAATTCCAATCATTTTTTAGTTCAAAATATATATTGTTTATCATTAGATAACAATAAATAAGAAACTATGTAATCACTGAAATGTGTTTTTTAATTACTTTTATTTAGAAGCAGTCAATGAATCCGAAACGTCTCCAGCTACGAATCCAGCTTGTTATGATTTTCTTCAAAAAGGTAATTTACTTGTAATAATTGTACGATTTTACCAATTTGATTTTATTTTACACTCGATAAAAAGTATATTATAAAGAATAGTTTTAGAGAAAAAATGAAAATTTTATTAAATCTCAATTTAAACACAATTTTACGTTATTTTGTACAGCAGGGCTAAAAATATTTAAAAAAAATATTGTATTCTTACATAATGATTTCAAATGTATGTGATCGAAAAAATTTCAAACCTTATAGTTATTAAATAAAATTATAACTATACATAATTTTCCTAAATAAAAAAAACAGTATCTGTCAGATATCTCTGACAATGATTAAATAATAAATAAAATAATAGAAAATCACTATCATAAAAAACGCTTTGATGCAAATCTGTAGATAATTATTAATTTTAAAAAATTGATGGATTATTCAAAAAACAAATATACTCTTATTTCTATATTTATATCCTGTTTAGTAGTTCTTAGATTTAAAAGTTATAATTTATTAATAAATATTTATTATAGCAATTAAATTGAGTATGAAATGATATTTAATAATTTAGTATTGTAATTTTGTTGGAGAAATTATAAAAATTTATTATGTATATATAATTTTTATAGCAAAAATGTATAAAAATTAAAAGGCTTTATGCATTACTTTTCAAAAAAAAATTGTTTGTTATTTATTAATTAATTTATTGGCCTACAAAGAATTTTCCTCAGAGATCAAAATATACTTTTAGCTTTGAATTTCCCTCGTTCCCTGTAAATGGGGGAAACCTCCAAAAAAATTACAAATTAAAAAATCGCTAATTTTCGAAATTTTTTCAATTTTTTTACTAAAAACTGCTATAACTTTTTAAAAATGAACATATCAATATATTTTTTTTTTATAGATGCTTAATGTCTTTACCTATCATTTGGTACATTTTTTTATAAATTTAACCCTTTACCAACCCACAGGGGGGGATTCAAAATGACAACTTTTTCAACTTAATTTTTTAATGTGTTCCGGAAATACTGATACTTTTATATATAAGGGTATTACACTGATTTTTATAAATATTATATCAATCTAATTGACATAGTATAAAAAGTTAAACATATTTAAATTTTTTTGTTTCTTTGAAGTCGAGAAAAATAACTTTAAAATGTGAACTAGCTAAATTTCCATTTTTATTAAGTGACGAATATGACGTATGGTTTCTGTGACGGTAACACTTGAGTATTTTACGACTGTGGTACTGAACTTTTTCTTAATTCTTTTTGAGTTAGAAAAAAATGTTTAACTCATTTAATTTTTATCGCATTTAGATTCAATAACTTCAAGAAACATCAAGGATCCCGTTACTGTATTCTTCTCTCGTGAGAAGAAATTCGTATTAATATTATTTTACTATGTGGTTTTTTTTTTGTAGCTATCGTTTATTTTCTCAGCTCTCACTTGACCTACTTTTTTGGCAATTTTTTTTTTTTAATTAAACACTATCTACAGATTTGCATCGAAGCGTTTTTAATAATAGTGATTATAATCACTGTCAGATATCATCTATACTGGACCCAACTATGCCACGACCCTAATGTGCCTCCACCCCACTGTACTGGGTATTTTTAATATTGTAGTATATTTAAAGAGTTCAATTTTGATATAAGTGAAAAATTGTCAAACATTTCAGAAAATGTTCAAAAATTGTTTAAACCTATTTTTGCGTCTATTTCAAATCTGCAATTAAAGTTTCACATATTGACTGAATAATAACAAATTCCTTCTAACAAATATTTATGTTTATTTAATATGTTATGTATGATTAATCATTAAATATATTTTAATTTAAAAACTACGTAACAAGCAGAATGTATTATGTGCAGTATATCATTATGAATAATTACTTAAAAACCAAGAGTTGCGTAGAAATGCTTACTAAGACTTTATTTAAATAATTTATTACAATAAAACGTTTTTATCGAAATTTTGAGGTTTTCTTATAAATTTACTGTTAATAGTAATTATATAAGTGTATGATCACCTATCATTTTCTTTAACTTTGAGGTGGAAAAGTAATCAAAATAAGTTTAAATTTATATTTGATGTAAGTTAAATTTATGAAACTTTTATAAAAATTGGTGGACTCATTACAATGGCTAAACCTTGTTTTTTTAATTTATTTAATTATGAAAAATTTATTTTATATTTATACTATGTAATATATGCTTTAATTTGACATATGTGTAAAGGACGCAGTAATTCCGGAACATTTTCAAAATTTAAAGTAGAAAAAATTTACTTTTGTGAAAAAGTTGCTATTTTTAATCCTCTCTTGTGGGCAAATAATAGATCAAATAAAAAAAAAAATTATATCAAATAAAAGAAAAATACGTAAGGTTTTTATATATTATATTTTTATATATTTTCGTTCATTCTTCAAAAAGCTATGGCAGTTTTAAGTACCAAAATAACATTGATTTTTACACGAAAATTATATTTTTTGTTCAATTTGGACGGTAATTTGCACATAGAAGTTAGGTCATCGGAGAAATTTTTGTTTAATTTATAGTACATGGCATAAGCTTTAATTTGATATATGTTTAAAGGACGCCGTATTTCCGGAACTTTTTTAAAAGTTTAATTGTAAAATTTGAGTTTTGTAAAAAAGTTGATATTTTAATTCCCCTCTGTGAGCAGGTAAGTGTCAAATTTTCAAAAAAATAATATCAAATGAAAGGGAAATTACTTGAGGTTTTAGTACAAAAAAAAGTTATTTTAATTTGTTCATTTTTTAATAAGTTATGGCAATTTTTAAAAAAAAGGTCAAAATTTAACGATTTCTAAAATCATAATTTTTTAGGGATTTTCACCATTTACGGAGAACGAGGGGAAAATTTTTAGTTATTGAGGGTAATGTCTTCAACTAGAAACAATTTGTGATCTTTTAACGTATCGTTTAGAAATAGCTTTTTAGCTTTATCCAGATAAAGCTAAAATAAGTAGTGACAGACAAAAATAAAAAAATATAATAAGGAAAACGGAGATTTAGGGGAATAATTAATGCAATTACTCTTTGCTTGTTATGTTTAAAATATATATTTTGTAAAATTAGATAACAGCAAATAAAAAAAAGTAATCACTTAAATGTTTTTCTAATAACTTTTATTTAGAAGAAGCAGTCAATAAATCTGAAACCTCTCTAGCAATGAATCCAGCTTACTATGATTTTCTTCAAAAAGGTAATATACTTGTTGTAATAAATGTATGATGTTCCCAATTTGATTTAACTTTACTCTCGATATAATAGTATATCATAAAGAATAGTTTAGAGAACAAATGAACATTTTACTTTTTTATTAAATCTTAATTTATACACAACTTTATGTTATTTTGTACAACGAGGCAAAAATGTATAGTAACTACTTTTCATAAATAAAAAAAGCAAAATCAAATATAAGGAGATTAATTTATTCAATTACTCTTTGCTTGTTATATTAATTCAAATAATTAGACATTTTTTTTTAACAATTCTCTCATTGATAGTTTTCAAGAACTAAAAATGCGAAAAATTTTTGCCTTTTAATATATGTAACTCTCTAAATTCAAGTAGCAATATTTAGATTGTAATACTATTAAAATGAATGACAGTTATTATAAGTAAAATTAATCATTATAAATAACAAAATAATTATCGATTTATTAAATTTACTTAGTATACTTTGTATTGTTGATAATCACTTGATTTTTCTTTGTGCTTACTTTATCTATGTACTCATAAAATTTAATTTTAAACCTTATATATTTTTGATGAAATTATTAGTCTCCTATCTTGATATATTTAATAAATACTCTGAAATTAATATATGTTGTTTTCGTAAGCAAATGTAACGTAGACATGGCGAATCACTTCTGGCATATACTTCGATAGGAAAACAAAGTGTAAAATGGGCTAATCGCTATGAACATGCTGATAATGTCTGAGAATAACTGACTGCGTCTCAACGTAACTGGCCGAGAGAGAGCATTCTGAACACCATTATAATAACATCTGAGCCAAAATACTCATTATTTTGGAATTTTTATTTTAAGTTTGATAGTATATTCAAAGGCAAGAAATGATCACTGATGTTACCATTATTTCTTTATTATTTGTAATTTATTACATTTTCGTCAACAATAATCTATATTTCATAATGTTCTAACGTTTATTCTATAAAATCTTACACATGATTTATTACCTTAAGTCTATTACTATTACATATTATTTATTATTTCCTATGTCTTTCACATATAATTATGTTTTTTTTACAAAATCATAATGATATATTCTTAAACATTTAAAAAATATAGTTATATAATAGCTTATTGTTATATTGGTATACATGTGATGATTTGTGATTAATTAAATTCTTAAATTGTATTTAGTAACAATAGTGATATATTATGTATATCACAACATTATTTTGTCACTAATATATTTTTTAATAACTTATTTTACTAGAAACAAACAATGATTCCAACACCCCACCAGGTACAGCACCAACTTATGATTTTCTTCAAAAAGGTAAATTACTAGTTGGTAATTTGAAATACTAATCCTCGAAACCAATTGTATGGTCCAGTGTCATAACAATTGCCAAAATCATTTATTTTTTTTAAATTATTTGAATTTAATATCTAATTTATACAAAATTTTATCTTATTTTGTACAGCGAGGCAAAAATTATTTTAAAAAAGTGTGTGCGTGTTACGATTACGCGCGGATGAAATGAAGCTTCATTCCGTTATTCAACTGATAGAATATTAGGTTTATATTGGGATAAAATTAAAAAGAATGCACGTAAAAATTTGATTTTCAATTGAAATTAATTAATGGTAAATTGTTAGGCATAGTTATATATATAAAACCATTGTATGTCACCATTGTGGGAATCTTATTTTTATTTAATGAGGCTCGGCATATATTGCACAAATAAATATTTTTCCTTAGAATATTTGGTATGATAGTATTCAAGATATTTTAATGCAATGGAGATGCAAGACTTAACTCGTTAAAAAACCACAAACTATCAGACATAGAACAAGCATGACAATATAGATTATTGCTGAATTTTATTTAAAATCTCTATAGCAGGCATGACCAACGTGCGGCCCGCGACACTGTTCTATGCGACCCATAGTTTAGTTTAGAATTTGAATAAAACAGTAGAAAAATTTAATAAATGCTTTATTTCAAATATGTCAGAAAAAAATTCAAATACAAAGTTAAAATCAGTGTGAAACTTGAGGTTGTTTTTGTAGCGCCAACTTCTTGATGTCAGGTTCAAATTTTGTAGTGGCAGCCCTTAGTAAGTAATGAAAATGATCATCTGTAAGGCGAGATCTTTCTTTGCTTTTGATACATTTCATCCTTGAAAATGTTTGTTCACACAGATATGTCGATCCAAACATTGAAAAAACACGTTGAGCCAGTTTTTTTAATTCAGGAAAATTTTCGTCGTCAAGATTTTTGTAAAAGTTTGGTAAATTCTTTCGATTTTCTTCGTACAAGTCCTTCTGTAAAGTATTAGTTTTCAGTTCTATTATTTCCATTTGAAAATTTTCCTGAACTACAGCTTCATCCATCTGAAAAGGATTTTCAATCAATCGAAACAACATACTTTGTTCTTTAAGTTTTTTAAACCGTGTATGAAAATCCGTTTTTAATTTTTCCAACAAGTCTACAAATTTTACTGTTGAAAAATTTAAAAAATTCTTTTCTTGTATTTTTTTACAGCAATTAAAGTGTATAAAATTTTTATTTTCAATTTGTCTACTAAATAGATTTAGTTTCAGCTCAAAAGCGGACACGTCATTTAAGAGTTCAAATATGAATTTGCCCTGTGTCTGTAGTTTTAAATTTAAATCATTGCAGTGACTAGATATGTCGGTCAAAAAGGCTAAGTCCCAAAGCCACAATGAATCAGAAAGTTGAACGAATATTTTTCCTTTCTCCGTCATAAAAATCTCTATCTCAGCAAGAAGATTAAAAAAGCGTGATAATACTTGGGCTCGGCTTAACCAACGTATCTGGTTGTGGTAAAGAACATCGGAAAATTCACTACCGACTTCTTCCAAAAATGCTTGGAATTGCCGATGATTCAAGCCACGGGAACGAATAAAGTTCACAATGTCTCTAACAACATTCATGACGTGGTCCATTTCGAGTACTTTGCAACATAACGCCTGCTGATGAATAATGCAATGAACAGGCAATGGCTGTTCTAAATTTTGAGTGGCCATTTGATGCAAAATTTTTGTGACTAATCCATTTTTTGAACCAATCATGCTTGGTGCACCATCTGTTGTTAGTCCGCAAAGATTTTTCCAATTTAAATTCAACTTTGTTATGCACTGCAAAACTTCTTCAAAAAGGTCATCTGCAGATGTGCGGTCTTTCATGCTCTGTAAAGATGCAAGCTCTTCAGTTATTGTAAATTCTCGATCTATTCCCCGCACAAAAATGAGTAATTGCGCTGTATCACGATTGTCCGTGCTTTCGTCCAAAGCCAAGGAAAAAAAAGAAAACTGTTCTGCTTTTGTTTGCAACTGATCTTGTAAATTTTTACCAATGTCTTCTATGCGACGAGTAATGGTGGGCCGAGATAGACTTATTTCTTTGAATGCAGAGCATTTCTCAGGAGCGATTTCTTCAATAGCTGCGATGATGCACTTTTTAATAAACTCGCCACTATTAAGCGCTTGTTGATCTTTCGCAATAAGATTTGCAATCTTATAACTTGCTGTAACGATATCGTCCTTTCCTTTTACTTGTCGCGAAAACATACTTTTGACAGCGCTTGTCTCGTCCGCGAATTTTTTTTTTAATAACTCCAATTTAGATTCGCGAGCCTTATCTTTAATACTTTCATATTTTGATTTGTGTTTGGTTTCATAATGCCTCTGAATATTAAATTCCTTATAAACAGCCACAGATTCACGACAAATAAGACAAGTTGGTTTCTCGTTGAATTGAATGAAAAAGTATTTATACATCCAAATGTCCTGAAAATGACGATTTTCTTCGGAAATTTTACGTATTTTTTTTTTTGTTTCAGACATTTTTATTAGGGTATTTATCACAGAGCTAAAAAAAATTATTTTTAAATAATAAATATTCGTTAATAATGATCAATTTTTATTTATAATGAAAAAAATTTTATTACCAATAATTCAATGCACTTAAATATCACTTTCACTGGAATATAGTCGCTTTAACATCATAAGCAGGAAACTAACTGACTCAAGTGTGCAAAGGACGCATCAATTAATAGTAGGCAATTGTTTGTGTTTATATTTATTTATAGTGTCAATGTTTTCTATCACCTTTAATCCCGCTCGTTTATGACCATATTTGGTAATGTTTACAATCTAAGTAGGTTTTTGATAATGTTTACAATAAAGATAGATTTTAGATAGATAACACATTTAATAATGTTTATAATATGGGTAGATTTAAATTAGATTATTAAAAATTTTTCAAAATGTGAATTTTCATAGATATGCGGCCCGTCTAAGTTTTGCTGAAATGACAAATGGCCCGCAAACTTAAAAAGGTTGGTCATGCCTGCTCTATAGGCTTGTTAAAATTTATGAAAATTATATCATTATCAGAGAATAATTCATTTTCACTGCAACTGTTATCATTGTTTGCATGTATTTGATGCTCATCCAAATTACATATAGTACTAGGTGATAACGTCAATATAGCATTTGGATTGTTTGCACTATTTCTTCACATTTCCCTGTATGATATTGTCGTGTACGTACAGTATCAGATACAGAAAGATGAACATCAGCTTGAACGACTATTTGATTACTTTGACTCGGTTCTTTTGTACCAGATGCTTCGTCAGCACTGTTGCCCACTAAATCTGCAGTTTTGAATTTTTGTTTCAGTAACCTGAACTTGTCATCATTGTCCATATTTATTGTCCTCGGAGTTACACAGCCTATTACAGAATACGAAATTACAGAGCCTGACAAATAATAATATTTTTATGCATAATCCAAATTATTTTTTGAAATTAAATTATTTAAAATAATTTTAATAAAATTACTTTATTATTCGATAATATAGTGCTAAATTATAATATAAAATATACGATACAGCTGACCGTGGTCGACTATTATGCCGACCGTTACCGATCGTAACGCTCGATAATCTGTTTTTAACATGCTTATATTAGTTTCACCTGTATATATGTTTGTTTGTTACTCTCCATGTGCCACGTGTTATTATTCTCGCGTATCTCGTCGTCTATTGCCTTGAGACTAGACTGTCGTAACGCATTCACCACTCACCGATAACACTATTCTTCTATAGTTTTATTTTTGGTTTTCGTACCCGTTCATGCTTGCGTGTCAACAGAGACGGAACTACATTGATGACACGCATATATATAAATATATAAACAAATTTTTATTGTGACATGGCACGCCACTCGTGCCACCTTTATTAGCAGTCGCCCTACTATGAGTTTTTGTGTATGACTGACCAAAACCGCGTGCCATAAACCACAGTGCAAAGTCCAGCAAGTGCTGCACAGCCGACGACGACCCGCCGCAAATGATACGTTGAGTCTTCTTCCCGTTATTAAAGTAACAACGTCGATAATGTACGCCACCGTCTCCAGACGTACCGCACGACCGAATTCGACGAACCGATCCACACCTGCGCACCGTCGCCATTAATGCTGCTTACTTTCATCGCCCAAAGATCAAACATCGAAAGTACCGTGATATTATGCGAAGATTATTATTATTATTATTAACCTTATTTGGATGTGGTAGTCGTTTCTAAGACTCCCTCTCCTGAATCGAACCCTGATTCCCCGTTACTTGTTACAACCATGACATTGATAGTAACTACCATCATAAATTCGATAAAGCAGGAAAATGTTCGATGGAACAGTACTTGAAATTTGATAAATAGATGATCGAATTCATAACAATTATAGTCATACTATAATATTTTAACCAAAAAATATACATACCCTAGGTAATTATGTAAAAATATATAGTTTAAAAAATTAAAAAAACACGCTTTCATAGCATATGAAACTAAAAAGTAAAAAATAAATATAGTTTAAAAAAACTAAATAAAAACACGGTTTTAAAGCACATCGAACTAAAAAGTTAAAAATAATTTTTAATTCAATGTGCTTTAAAAGCGTATTTTTTTTATTTTTTTTTAACGCTTAATAATCTGTTTTTTTTTCGGACATTTTATAAATAAGTTTCACTTCAAAAATGCTGTAAACTTACACAATGTTTTTAAATGTATGTTATCAAAAAAACTTAAAACTTTAAATTTATTAAATAAAATTAATATTATACACACTTTTCCTTAATAAAAAAAGCAAAACTGAGATTTAGGAGATTAATTTATGAAATTACTCTTTGATTGTTATGTTTAAAATATATATTTTGTATTATTAGATAATAGCAAACAAAAAAAAGTAATCACTTAAATGTATTTCTAATATCTTTTATTTAGAAGCAGTCAATGAACTCGAAACCTCTCAAGCAACGAATCCGGTTTTTTATGATTTTCTTCAAAAAGGTAAATTACTTGTAGATAAATTTTAAATTTGGGTTTTAGAAATGGAAAATTGAAATTGTTAAAATTCGATTTGATAGATAAAGCTACAAAATTATATTCCAATAGTATAACACGGGTTATGATATGGTTAAAAATATTATATTATAATATTGTATGACTGTTTTGAATGTTAACTAATATAATAAGAAGTAAAAATTTTGTTATCAAAATTTTAATTTGTATACAAATATAATATAACACAAATTAATTAAAATTTTTATTAGATGAATATCTTAAGACACCAATTTAATCCATAATATTTGGCTAGTTTTAACAATCTTAACTCATAGAAAATAAATATAGTTGTACATAATTTACATAAATTAGTCTAAAATACAATGTTTCAAATTTTTACTTCTTAAATAAATTTTTCCTCTTAAATAATTATTTTATATTATCAGATTTAATAGGTGATACCATAATGAATGAAGAAACTGACATTGAAAAAGGAGAACTTACTAAAAAATATCCACAACATTTTATAAAATTTTTATAAGTTATATTTTTTATTATTATTTAGGCACATTATTTATTAAGGTAAAATAGGATTTTAATTGAATCTAAATATAATTAGAAGGATGCGAGATTATATGTATTTATCAATTTTGATGATTCATTCTAAATTACTTATTACTAAATTATTTATCTATTTACTTGTATTTCGATGCAATTTGAATATACCACTAACCAGTATAAAACTTTTATTAATTGACTTTAGAACTTAGTAATATGATGCTTTCATGGTTATAACATTGGACTGATTAAGGGTGTTTATCCCACTCAAATAAAAAATATATCAATGTTACAATATTTTCCTACGAAAAAGTTTCACAAACTTAAACTGTTCCAAATGGCTTGGACAAAATGTTTAATGCAAATAATTCTGCACCCTATCATTAGGTACATAATAATATTACATGTGAGCATACTTATTCTAGAGCATATTTATATGATATACCGCAACTTATTTGGCAATTTCTCAATTTTTAAAAAACACTGTTAAAAATTCTTTTTTGAAACTGAACTTTTTCGATATACTAGTATTCTTATTTAAAAATGTGTTAAATCCAAATTAGTTGCTACATGTACGATACTTTGGCTCAACTTATTATAATTAATGGTGTTTTCTCAATTCAAAATGATTACCTAATTTCGCTACATTACATTTTTAAAGGAAATTTTATTATAACACATAAGTATAGCCTATTTCAAATTATATTCTTGACAATATTAATTCAATGATATTAAAATGTCAATTATGTATAATTACCAAATCAGTAGTCACAATAATGTTCGATACAAAACATTATAGATTAAAGTTTTCTATTATTATGCTTAAAATTATTAATTTCTATTAAAAATGTCATAATATTCCTATCATAGAGAATAAGAAATCTAAATATTAGATTATGAATCATTTTTACTCTAATAAAATTGTTATTATATTATAAAATCAAATGTTATTTATATAATATCAATTCCCACCAATTAATGTAATTAAAATATCTTTAATTTTTTTTGTGCTTAATTTAATATTGCAAATTAATTATCAGTTATTTTATTTTAATCTAAAATAAAGTTAGACTTTCTATTTTTTATTTTTATTTCTATATTTATTTTATCAAATTTTGATATTGTTGATAACTGCTTCATTTTACACATTATTGAAATTTAGTCGTGAACTTACACAACTATNATATTGAATTTTAGTTGTGAACTTATACAACTCTAACTCGTGAAATTTTCTACAAATATAATTAGATTTTAATAATTTAATTATTTTAGTATATTAGGATAATTTTTTAGTGACACCTTTTTTTATGATAACCCGCACAGTGGTCTGAAAGTGAATTTTAGGCAATCGTAAGTCGCATTTTAAAATGTACTCGCAATATTAAAATAATTATGAAAACTCAATTCTAGTATATTGCTCAGACAAAATATAAAATTTCAAGGACATATGTTAATCTGGTCGTTATTTATATCCGTTTGAAGTATAATAACAAATGGTTATATTACGGTTAACATAAAAAAAGTCTTTCGATGTCAACTTTTTTAACGAGTTAAATTTTTTTTTATTTATAGTTTAATTTTAAAATTATATTAAATTTACAATTAGCTTTCTTTTATTTCGATTTCTGATATTGAATTGTTTAAATTATTTATTTCATCTTCGATGTTCGTTTCGGTACTGACAAATAAATTTTGCACATCGATAGAAAATTTATTTATAATCTTTTTTGAAAATAATTTCATTGATGATATGTATGTATCACTTGATACTAATAGCATATGTATCAAATATTTATTGTTATATACCTCTAACTTTTTCTAGTATGGTGAAGTATTTATTATAATCTGTGATTCTGGCTTCTTGGGCTTCTTCCGAAAGTTTCCCTAAAAATATATTCAAATAAATTATTACACCGTTTAATTGTTATATAGAATAGTAATTAGAATAGAAACCGGAAGTATTGCGAATCGTATTACGTTAGCTCCATGAATTAACATTTTGTGGACACTACCAGGTACATAATACCACGGGTATAAATCAATAAAAATTTTAGCTGTCTTCATAGCATAAATATTAAAAGCATCTACAATAATTTTTCTCCATTGGAAATTACTATAAGTATATATCCGAATCGTTGTACTAAATTTATATCTATTCCTGTTGTGTGAGGTGTTCTTTCTGGATTTTTCAAAAATCACTTTGCAATATTTCCATCGTTTAAATTGCCTTTTCCTAATATATTGAATTAGTATATTCAGTAAACATAATAATTATTACTTACAGCTTAAGAGGACGTTATACAGCTAATTTTAGAACGTAAAAACATGTCTTCTTAAAATGCATTTTACACACTAAGTACTGCACTTAGAGCAATAACATCCATTATAAAAAAGAGATTACTTTTGTCGTACGAGTTCGTACAAATCACGATATGTTATCCGTTTTTCAGTTATGTAATCGTCTTAAAATAAACATATTTAGTATTTTAGTGAATATTTATGGTTAGTCTTAAAATTAATGTTTAGTTTTTATATTTCATACTTCTATAAACATGTTAAATTTCATAAATTTATTAATACTGTAGTAGAAAATCAAGAAATTATAATTCGATAAAAATATTTTGATAGAATACTGTTTAACATATAAAAATATTTATGATTTGTTAAACTTTTATTAATCAATTTTCATTTTTAATTACTTATTATAATATTGTAAGGCAATTTGTTTTTACTTACTTTCATATTGGTTATCCATGGTTAAAATGTTGTGAAATTTTAAATCTCGTTAAATGAGAAATGTATTTGAATAATNGTTCGATCCATAGTTTGTTTTTTTTTTTTATTTGAATGTAGTATAGTGATAAGCGCGTTTATCCGGTGCGTACCGGTTTTTTTTCGTTTTTGTAATAAATAGTCGAACGATGTCTCGTCAACGAAAAGGACGGCACGACGTGCACGGCAAACATTTGTATATAAAGTAAAGTAATAAACTAAGTTAAAGGTTTAAGTTTATATCGTTTTTTATTAATTAGATAATTAAAAGTAATTTCGAACGGTTTTATACAGTCCACTTTAAAAACGTAACACATGGTTAAAATGTTGTGAAATTTTATATCTNCATGGTTAAAATGTTGTGAAATTTTATATCTCGTTAAATGACAAATGTATTTGAATAATAAAATTTATAATAAGAAATATAAAATTTGGGAGTTCACATAAAAAATAAATGGACTTTGCTAACATTTCAAAATTAAATTATAGCTTAAACATAAAATTCTCAATAAAACATACAAGAATCAAACTAGTTGTATTATTTATAAAGTAGTATTACAGTATCTACGTAATAGGACATGTCTATCGATTGTTAAAGCCCAAACTATCTTATAAAAATCATGAATGTTGTCAAACAACTAAAAATGATTTGAACTTTGACAACAGGAT